TATGTTTTAATTATTTAAATTAATTGATAAATTAATTTAAATTTGTTCATTATATTATCATTAACAAATAACAATTATAAACAAAGTTAAATGAAAAATAAATAATTCATTTGATATAAAACTAATAATATTAATTAATTTTGTAATAAATTTTAAGCTTTTAAAACTTCATGTTTACAAAAAAATATTAAATGTAGCATATCTAACCAATTTATTATTTAAAAAATAAAATAAGGGACAATAAATTTATATTAAACACATCAAACCAATTTCACAGGACACGCATGCACATTATAATTATACTATAATTCCAAACCATTTCTAAGTTCTTAAAACATTTGCTTTGTTTGATTCAATTTGATTAAAAAGTAATTGTTTCCTTATAAGTGACGTTTCGCCTGCCGAAGGTATATAAACATTTATAAATTCAACTCAAAACAGAAATGTTCTTATTTTTGGCGACAATTCTTCTTTTCAAAATCAAAGCTGAACAGTCAAACCCTGACTGCTCTTCGGCTTATTGTGTTCTATGTAATTTGGGAACTGATACGTGTTCTGGGTGTAAACAGGATTACATTTTAAAAGACGGAAAATGCATTCGTTTGTAACTTTTTAATATCCATTGTATCGGTTATTTTTTTACAAAATATTTATGTATTTATAATAAACAACTTACAAGTTATAGAGTCGACATTTTATTTGTGTATTTATCTCAACGGTGTATTATTACTGTTTTTTAACGAAAAATAATTTTTAGATATTAGTATGCTAAATTGCGTTGAAGAAGATGAAGATACTTGTCTACAATGTGAAGTTGGGTATCAGTTAGATCCAGTTTCGAAAGGATGTGTTGGTTTGTTTGGTGTGTTAATCCCTATTATAGTTATAACAAACAGAAGGGAATGATGGATGTCTTTATTATGATACAAATGGAAAGTGTAAAGAGTGTTATTTCAATCATTTACTGGTGAATGAGAAATGCACAAAATGTGAGAATGTGGATCATTGCATTAATTATGATGGTGATTGTAAGTGTAATGCATGCCCCTTGAATTATTACCTCACTGCACAGAATACGTGTGAAACCAAAGATAAGTATTGCACTGGATTTAATCCGGATATACCAACTCAATGTGATATGTGTATTAGTGGATTTTATTTAAATATAACGACATACACATGTGAACGTTTGTTTTTAAATATCTAAAATATAGTTTTAATTTATACAACTAAATGGTGAAAATATTTCGATTGTTGGTTTATTTGTTTAAAATTTCATTGGTTAAATTTAGCATTTTATATTATAACTATATTTTTGTTATTTATAATATAATATTATTATTGATACTATGTTCATTTTCAATATTATTAAATTTATTTTTAACTTGTATTTATAAATACATTCTTGTTTAAAAAAACCAATTTATTTTTGTATATGAAATGTCATTATAATATTTGGTTTGATTAAACTTATTTTGAAATTAACATTTTAAATAATAATATATAGAAGGTAATATAAAAAATTGCATGATCTATGGTGTTTCAATTGATGGAGTTGTTTCGTGTTCCCAATGTATTATTGATTACATAAAAATGGATGATAACAATTGTAAACCACTTCATGAAGTTTTTGGAGAACATTGTATTTATGGAGAAAATAACATAAAGTGTGAAAGTTGTGACGATGGGTACTACGTATCTGGAAAGGAATGTAAAAATTGCATTGACCATTGTCTTGTTTGTTCTGCTGCTGATGAGTGTACGATGTGTGAAGCCGCTTATGTTTTTGATCCTTCAACCAAAAAATGTGAAGGTTTGTTATTTTCATTTTAATAACACATTAATAATAAATACTAAATAAAAGCATGTACATCTGGATGTCATTCGTGTGTACCCGAAAATGGTAAAACAACTTGTAGAGAGTGTTTACCAGAGTACATTTTACAAAAGGATGGCACTTGTCTCAGTTTGTTTTATAAAATTGTTTTAATTTTTAATCAATGCAATATTTAATAAAAATGGCCTCAACCTATTGATTAATTGTAACTCACTTTAAAAGAGAAAATAAATAAAATATTATCACAAAATTATTTTCATATATTGTTGTATTTTCATTATTATATAAATCAACAAGAATAATTCAAAATAACATCATTAAATAAAAATCTGATATTCAGAAAGTCCAAACGAAGCTTACAAGTGCAATGAAGCAGCCACCACCGAAACGGATTGTATATCTTCTGGACAAAATTGCAAATTTGAGACAATCAATACAAAGACGTTCCTTTGTACATACAAAGGAAGTAATTGTACTACTTGGGATGTTTCCAATGTATGTACCAAATGTTCAGATATCACATTTAAAGTCAATACAGATAATTCAAAAGTATGTATTCCTCTCACAAACAATTGTAAGACATACACATCCGGTCTTTCAGGAATAGTAAAATGTGTAGAATGCAGTGATGGTTATTTCATGAATGAAGACTTTACATGTTCGAAGTGTGGTGAAATGTGTTCAGAGACGTGTGAGTATAAAGACAACTATTGTGATGATTATACATGTTCGGATTTCTTATGTGAAAATTGTAATAAAAACAAAGGAGTATGTGAGAAGTGTTATTACAACAAAGTCAACGAAAAAAATAATTGTGGACCAGTCGCATGCATTGAGCCGGTCGCTGACGGTAATTGTGGGATGTGCTTGAGATACTCAGAAGAGACTAAAATCGTCAACAAATATACCAATCCAAGTCGCGTTCCAGTCACAATGGAATATTTCTTACCTGGGTTGGACTTAAACTGTTTCGCTGATGACAATCCGAGTTCGAGTAAATCAGAAAGTGAATCATCTGATGATTTGACTTGGCTTTGGATAACACTTGGTGTGGTTGGTGGACTTGTGGTTGTGGCTCTTGTCATAGGCGCAATTGTTGGTGTTGTGTTCTATGTGTTGAAGAAGAAGAAATCGTCCGAATACGCAAAGATCGAACAGTAACGATTAAAATTAATTCACTATTAATTTTTTTATTACAATTTTTTTTAAAATAAATTTATCAGTTAAAAATTTAAAAATTGGATATGTAATTGAGAATAAAAATCAATTTTATAATTTGTGTGTAAATCTAAAAAATAGAAATAAATATTAATTTTATTAATATACAGATGTGGAACTATGGTTTCGACTGGGACTATGGTTTCGACCAATTTTTTTGTTCATTTTTATTATATGACAGATTTTTTTTCTTTAAAAATCGGGTGTTTAGATTGTTTTTTGATGATTTTTGTCAAAAATAGCATATCTAAATCCCAAGCTTTCGACTTTATTTTTAAACGCACCCAAATTATTTAAAATAACGGGAAATTTATCACGATAGTTTTGGGTGAACTGGAACTAAATAAGAAAAATAAAATGGGTTATTCAGTTTGTTACCAAGTGTAAAATCTCAATTGACGCTCGATTTGATTAACTGACTCAATAGTTGGTTTTTGGGCT